ATGAGATTTAAAGACGACCGTTGGACTAGAGCTGTTACCGACTGGATTCCACGGGATGTCAAGAGACCGCGTGGCCGCCCGCCTACCAGATGGTCAGACTTCTTTGTCAAGGTCATGAACGATCGGTTTGAGGCCCTTCATGTTCCCGGAGCGAAGAGATGCCATTGGGCTACACTAGCACGCGACAGGGACAAATGGAGACGTTACTGGCGCCCGCTCGAGCAAATCGACGACTAACGGGAAGTTAAGTGATTAAGTGATTAAGCTTGGCCTGGGGAGCTGACATTTAAGGCAGCATCTTGAACTTGTTTACTGGATCCAGCACATGGGTCAAGATTACTGGTATGTAATCTTGACATACATACAAGTAATCTTGACCCAGTTTCTACTGGTTTTCCCAGAAGAACCTGGAAAATCCCCGAATGCCTGAGAACAGACGACTGACGGGATAAAGGGACTTGGGTACACCTACACAATGGAATACTATGCAGCTGTTAGAAAAGACGAAGTCATGAAATTCGCATGGAAATTTGCATAAACTTGCATCAACATGGAGAGTATCGTGCTAAGTGAAACAAGTCAGAGAGAGAGAGGGACAGACGTAGAAGGACCGCACTCATTTGTGGAACATAAAGTAACAGAATGGGAGACTAACACCCCGAAATCGTAGAGATAAGGGCCAGGAGGATCACCCCACGGCTTGGAAGGCAGCCTCACATGCTGGGGGGAAAGGCAGCTGGGAGAGAGAAGGGACCAGCAAGCAAAGGATGCTTGGAGGGCTCGCTTGGGACGGGAGATGCATGCTGAAAGTAGACTCTAGACCGAACACGATGGCCACTTAGTACCTGTATTGCAACACCCAAAAGGGACTGTGCCTGCCACAGAGGTGGCAGGGGAGGAGGTGGCGGGAGGGACACTGGGAACATTGGTGGTGAATGGGCACTGGTGGAGGGATGGGTGCTCAATCATTGTATGGTGGAAACGTAAGCACAAAAGTTTGTAAATCTGTAACTGCATCTCACAGTGATGGATTAAAAAAAAAATTACTGGTTACGAGAATCTTGAGAACGTAAAAAGCCAGACCAGTAACCTGAGTCACAGACCAGTGACCTGAGTCACTGAGGTACCAGGAAGTGGCACACTTCCCTTGGCTGTCACTCGGGGTCTGCTGTCCTTGGTCGGCCAACCGGGCCCGGTGCCGTGGCTGGCATCTCGTGTTGTTGGGGTTCCCTTTCCTCGGGGAAGGCTGGCAGGATATCCCCAAGGAAGGGGTGAGCATGTGTCTGTGTTTTCCAGTCAGGAGGGGAAAAGCTAACAATACAGCTGAAAAAGACAGAAAGATTCCTGCCCTCCCTTCCCCCAGACTTAAGGCAGGATTGGGAAAAACAGGTTGACTGATTAGACAATCCATCACCTCTCCCTCAGGCACCGCCCCTGGGCTCTGTGACTTCAGAAATGAAGACAGCTGGGGGTGCAGCCGGGGGTCAGAGAACTTTCCCACTGCACAGACTTCCTGGTCCCGAAACAATTGGTCTGACAACCACCAAATACACAAGGGTTGCGGTTTTAGCTGCTCAGCACCGGGCTGGGCTGGCCACAGAGGTGGGCCGGGAGCTTTTGGAGGAAGGACCCCAGAGATGGGAAGTGACTGAGGGAGGAGGGGCCCAGGCATACTTCAATGCAGGATGCAGTCACATGCTTTTCCTTTTACTAAGGATGTGTTCCGGGACTCATCCCGAGGAATGAAGTCAGGCAAGAGCGAGAAGGGCTGAGGTGATAAGGGGCTGGAGACGGGCAGAGAGGGGTTAAGGCACTCGCCTTGCAGGTACAGACCCTGTTTGACCCCAGCATGGCACAGGGACCCCCCCCCTCACGCCCCTACACACACACACACACACACACACACACACACACACACACAGGTACAGACCCTGTTTGATTCCAGCATGGCACAGGGACCCCCCCTCACACCCCTACACACACACACACACACACACACACACACACACACACACAGAGGTACAGACCCTGTTTGATTCCAGCATGGCAAAGGGACCCCATTCACGCCCCTACACACACACACACACACACAGAGGTACAGACCCTGTTTGATTCCAGCATGGCAAAGGGACCCCATTCACGCCCCTACACACACACACACACACACACACACACACACACACACAGGTACAGACCCTGTTTGATTCCAGCATGGCACAGGGACCCCCCTCACGCCCCTACACACACACACACACACACACACACACACACACACACACACAGGTACAGACCCTGTTTGACCCCAGCATGGCACAGGGACTCCCCTCACGCCCCTACACACACACACACACACACACACACACACACGTACAGACCCTGTTTGATCCCAGCATGGCACAGGGACCCCCTTCACGCCCCTACACACACCCCAGAGGGTGTGGCCTTCCTGTTCTGTTTCGAACCTCCCCACTTCTGCAGAGGTGACGAATTCTAAAGAGATCTCAACAAATTATTTTCACGCCAGCAGGAAACAGGATCAACAGAAAATACGGTGGAGGAGCAGGACCCTCAGAGGGACAAGAGGGGACTAGGCAGTGAGGGTGGAAATCTCCCCAGGGAACAGCTCCGTGGGCATCCCGGGAGCAGGGCGTGGAGGGTCACTGTCCCTCTGTCTTACCACCATCTGTCTTGCCCATCTCTTTTCCTGTTTGTTTTGGGCCATGCCCAGGGGTGCTCAGGGCTGACTCCTGTCTCCGCGTTAGGGACTCAGTCCCCACAGGGTTCAGGAGGTGATACGCAGTACCAGGAAGCAAACGGGGCTCAGCTGTGTGCAAGGCCAGTGCCTTTGTCCTGGACCAGCTCTCTGGGCCCCATCTCGCTGGTGGTTTTTTTTCTTTTTGGGTTGTGTGTGGGTGGTTTGGGTCACACCCTGCAGTGTTCTGGGCTTATTCCTGGCTCTGTGCTCAGAAATGGCTCCTGGCGGGACTCTGGGGACCGCATGGGGTGCTAAGGGTTGAAGGCCGTTGGCTGTGTGCAAGGCAAGGGCCCTGCCCAGTGCACTAACTCTCTTGTTTGCTCCTCTTGTTGGTCCTCAAGTCAGTGCAAAGTGCTCACCCATTAGCCTCCTTATAGGAACATAAAAAAAAAGTTAACCTTCCACATCCCATTCCCTTTGTTTCCTCAAAGTTTCTTCTGAACTCAGCCGCCCTCTCAGGCCTCTGCACTGGGGATCACAGGGACAGCGGAGAAGGGAGACCTTAGGTCCTGGGCCCTAAGGCAGCAGGCCTGGCCTCCCTCTCCCCAAACCACCTGGCTAGCACCCCTCTGGGGGTGTCTTATCTGAGGGCGGAGAATTTACTGAGGGGAGCCTCGCCCCTAGGCCCTTTCCGGGAGAAAGGAACTCTTGGCCACCTGTTTAAAATAAACAAAGTGAGTAATCAATCCCCACAGGGTGGGCCACTGCCCTTGGGCAACAGAGAGGGAAAAAAAAGGCACCTAAGTCCCACCTGAGCCGCCCTAGGTGTGGGATAGGGCCCTACTTGCTCTCTCTCTCTCTCTCTCTCTCTCTCTCTCTCTCTCTCTCTCTCTCTCTCTCTCTCTCTCTCTCCAGCCCCACACCTGCAGTTTGGGTTTTGTTTTGGGCTACACCAGGGGTGCTCAGGGCTTACTCCCGGGCTCTGTGCTCAGTGATCACGGTGGGAGCACGTGGGGAGCTGGGGCCTGACCCTGGGTCCCCTGTGTGCAAGCCAAGCGCCCTCCTCACTCACTGCACTGTGGCTCCAGCCCCCCAAATACACATTTTAAGACTAGCTGTGCTCCTGGGTGTTCCCCCCACAGTGAGCCGTGGAGCTGCAGGCTGTTATTCCTGCGGGGGCTGGGGTGGGGTCTGCGACTGAGACTGAGCCTTGGGGTTGGGGTCTTGGCACCCCTGGTCAGGTGCGGCCGGGCCTCCTCTTGCAATCTGGGAGGGGAGGAGGGGGGGGGGACGCCCCTGGATCACACCTGGATCCTGCCACGCGCGGCCACTCGGCGGGACCCCGCCTCGCCATCCGAGCCACCTTTGCCCGGGCAGACTTGCGGGCTTCCCGGGTGGGACCCGCGCCCAGCACTACGTGGGGTGGAGGTGGGGTTGCGGGAGGGAGCATCCGCGCTGGGAGGGCGCAGAGAGGAGAGCGTGGCCTCCGGGGCAGCGCGCTCCCGCGGGGAAGCCCCCGGCTCAGGCACTGCCTCCCGACCCCAGGCGGCGGCTCGGCGCCGGCCTTCGGCGGCAGGCCCCGCCCCGCCCGCCCGCGCGGCCTGCGGTGGGGGGCGTGGCCGGGAGGCGGGGCGGGGCGCGGAGGCTGCGCTGGGCGTGGCCAGATGGTGGGGCGGGCCCGGCGGCGGGGGGCGGGGTCGGGGTCGGCTCTGGAGGCGGGCCGGCAGCGGCGCGGGGCGGGGCCAGGCGGTGGCGGTGCTGGGGCCAGGCGGCGGGGGCTGGGCCCGGCAGCGGCGCGGGGCGGGGCCAGGCGGCAGAAGGGGCGGGGCCAGGCTGCGGGGTTGGGCCCGGCAGCGGCGCGGGGCGGGGCCAAGCGGCGGCGAGGGCGGGGCCAGACGGCGGTGGGGCGGGACCAGGCGGCGGGGACTGGGCCCGACAGCGGCGCGGGGCGGGGCCAGGCGGCAGAAGGGGCGGGGCCAGGCGGCGGGATTGGGCCCGGCAGCGGCGCGGGGCGGGGCCAGGCGGCGGCGGGGGGCGGGGCCAGGCGGCGGGATTGGGCCCGGCAGCGGCGCGGGGCGGGGCCAGGCGGCGGCGGGGGCGGGGCCTGCCGCGGGCGCCGCGGGCGCGTCGGGGCTGACGCGGCCGACGCGGCGCCCGCCAGGCCGCAGCCCGCTCGCCGCCGCCGCCGCCGCCGCCGCCCCGGGCCCGCCCCCCGGCGCCCCGCCCGCCCCCGCGGGTCCCCGTCCGGCCGCGGCCCGAGGCGCCGGCTCCTTCCCGCTGCTCCGCGCCGCGCACACCCCCGGGCATGGCCGAGCCGGCGCGCGCCCCGCGGCGGGTGGCGCTCATCACGGGCATCACGGGCCAGGTGAGTGCGCGCCGCACGTGCGCGGGGGGCCGGGCCGGCGGGACGGAGGGGACCCCCACCCCCCCCGACTGGGCGGGCGATCGGGCCATCCGGCCACCCGCGACCTCGTGATCTGGTGACCCGGTTCCCCGGGGATCCGGCGGCCGGGCGATCCGGCGACCCGGCGATCCCGCGATCCCGGCGATCCTGCGATCCTGCGATCCTGCGATCCGGCGATCCCGGCGATCGGGTGCCCCGCGGGTCGCTCGCGGCGGCGGAGCGGGGAGGCGGCGCCCGGCCCGGCGTCCCCGCCCCCCGCGGGAGAGGGAAACTCGAACGGGCGCCCGAGGCCAGGCGGGCCACCCCAGCGGCTCGCGCGCGCCCGTCGCGGTCCCCTGGCCCCGGCCCCCGGCCCCCGCCCCCGGCCCCCGGCCCGCCCCGAAGCCCCCACTTCCTGGAGCCAGGGCCTGCCCAGGGCTTGGCTGGGCTCGAGGCGGGCAGGGCACGGCCAGTGCGCGCCTGCCCTGGCCCGCAGATGATGGACCCACCCCCAGGTCCCACCGCTGCTCTCCCTGCCCCCACTTGGCAAGCAGGGAAACTGAGGCCCGCGAGTGGGCGCCGCCTGAGGTCGCAGGCACGGCCAAGGGCTGGCTGCCTAGGCTGATGCGTTGGGCCGCTGGACATCTGCCCGTCCGGCCCCGTGTGTGCAGGGAGAGGGAACCCCGGAAGAGGCGGGCAGGCCAGGCCAGGCCAGGCCAGGGGCCTCCTGAGGTACCTGCCCGCTGCACCCTCCACGTGCTGGGGACTCCCCGTCCGGCTGCTGGTCCCATGGGCTTGGAGCTGGGGGGGCCCCTAAACCGATGGGCGCCGTGGGAGGGGGCTCATTTCAGTGGTTCAGGGTTGGTTCCCTGGTGCCATTCGAAGCGACAGCGCAGGTGGGACACAGAGCTTGGGGCACTGCCGTCCGGCTGGTCCTGGGCGTCCCTGTGCCCAGGTGCCCCCTTGTCCCCCTTCCTTCAGCTGCTGACCAGCTTGGGCGCCCTAACCAGGCGGTCATGCACACACTGCCCTCTCGCTTCCCAGACTGTTGATTTATTTGGGGGGCTTCTTCTAAGTGGTTCCTGGGGCCCCCAGAGGCCTCTCCCAGCGATGCCCGGGCCGGTCCTGCTCATGCCCTGCAGTTCTGGGGTTGCTGTGGCCGTGCTGGGGGCTGAACCCTGATTTCTGCATGCAGGGCTGACCTCTGGGCCCTCTCCGAGCCCCCAGTGCCAGGCTGAAGTCCTGCGTGGGTACGACTCTCAGGGCTGCTCCTGGCTCAGTGCTCGCAGCAGTCCTCAGGGGGTCGGACCCTGTGCGTGGGCTTCACACTCCCCTCCCCGCCCCCCCTGCCCTGCACTGTCCACCCTCCGGCCTGGTCCTGCCTGGGCCGGGCCCAGTGTGGGCTTGGAGCTCAGCTGCTCTCGGCCTCTGCCTCCCCGGCCGGGGGTCAGCCCAGGGCTCAAGGCCTTCGGGAGTGCCATGAGGTGACTGCACTTGGCCGGAAGGGCGGACTGAATGAATACCCTTTGCCTTTCTTCCTTTTACAGCTCCTGCTTTGCTTTACTTGCTTAATTTAACCCCCTTCGTTTTGGTGGTGGTGGTGTTTTGATCAGGGACACACACACACACACACACACACACACGCACACGCGCATAGGCTGGGGTGTGTGAATGCTGAGCTGGGGTGCTCATGGGGGTGCATTCAGGCTGTGGTGCTCCCCGAGGCAGCTCTCCTTAGCGGTGGTGCACCCTGAGGGTGCTCACGCCTGCACTCAGCGCGACGGTTATGGGTGATGGGTGATGGGGGAGGTGCAGGGGGGGGGGTCGCAGTGGGCTCACGCATGTACTTGCCCGGGGGTGGGGGGGGTCTCACAGACCTGTTGCTTTAGGAGCAGGGATGGCTGTGGTGCCCTCTGTAGCCCCCAGGGGTCTCCGGCCACACGGGGTCAGCCAGCTGCCCCTGACAGGTCGGCCCTCAGCAAACAAGTGCCAGCTCAGTGGTCCTCGGAGGTCACCGCAGGCCAGTGCTGGGGGCGTGGGGTGCCGGGTCTCAAACCCCGGGCCTCAGGCATGCCAGCCCTCAGGTGTCCTGGCCGCACCCGGCGAGGTCTCCTGTCCTTCTGGTAAAAACAAGACTGTGCCGTGGAGGCTGCGGGGCCGAGATGCCCAACTCACACACCTGCAGGGTCTGTCCCCAAGCCAGGCCCCCGTCTCCTGCAGCCTGGACTGTGCAGGCGTCCCATCCGGAGCGGCTGGGCCACGGCCTGTGGTACCCCGGGGTCAGCTGCCACGAGCAGCATCTGTTCCCTAGAGTTTGGTCAGTGCACGTGGCATGCTGGGGTCCCACTGGTTTACCAGTTGCTGGGAGCTCGTGGCCCCAGGCCTGCATCATTCCATTCGGATTTTGTTCGGGGTGGGGGTGGGGTGGTGCTTTGGGCCACACCCGGCAGTGCTCAGGGCTTGCTCTGCACTCGGCTCACTGCCGGCGGAGCTCGGGGAACACTTTGGGGTGCCAGGGACGGGACCAGGTTTGCCGCAGGCAAGGCCAGCACCTGACACCCCGTCCTCCAACCATCTCTGGCCGCCTGCCCCGGCCATTTGTCCGATTTCTCTATAATCCCGGGTGAAGAGTTTACCAAGCGACGTGGCCAAGTGTCCTGCAAACATTTCAGCATGTGTCAATATGTACCGAGGCACGTGGAAGGCTTGGCAATGTCCCGGATTCGTGGTGTCGCGGCTGAGGCCACCTCTGAGGCCCCTCCAGCCCGGGTGCTGGGCTGTCGGCTCCACTGGCTCTCACAGAGTCAGGCTTCTCACCCGCCCTGCCGTCTCGCTAACACCTCTCACCCCCCATTTTTTTTTTTATCCTTTTGGGTCACACCCAGCAATGCTCAGGGGTTCCTCCTGGCTCTGCACTCAGGCATCACTCCTGGCGGTGCTCGGGGGACCCTATGGGATGCTGGGGATCGAACCCGGGTCAGCCGCGTGCAAGGCGAACGCCCTCCCCGCTGTGCTATCGCTCACGCCCCCCCCCCCCCCTTCCCTTGTTACTCACCTGCGTGGAAGCCGGCCTCCGACCCACCTGGCCCCGGGTTTCTCCTCTGCTGCTCTTCGCCGCACCCCTGGGGATGTTCTTGCAGCTCCCAAATCCGATTCCCCCTAAGTCAGCTAATCCCCGCCCGGCTCTGAGTAATCCTGGCCCACGCAACCCATGCCAGCAGCTTCTTTTGTGTTTGCGTCTCTGCCACGCGTGCCGCCAGGCTCGGGACACGCGACTCGCACGCAGGGCTCGGCGCAGCGCGGCTGGCAGGGACAGAGGTTCCGTCCAGCCTGGCACGCGGCTTCCAGGCCGGCCCTCCCCTCCGACGCCGGAAGTTGCCTTTCCCCTGGTATCTGCTGCCGGGAGGTTGGGTGTTGATGTTTTCTCTCCGTCCACGAGGCCACCGTCTCCCTGTGCCGCGAGGACGCCAGGACTGTGCCCAGGCCGGAAGAGGGCCTTGGACAACTGGCCGGGGCCGTGTTGTCTGGCCCGGGTGGCACCCCAGAGAGGGGAGGCAGGCAGGAGGGGCAGGAGGGAGGGTGTAAGGGTCAGTGCCGTTAGGGGGACGCTGCTCTGTTAGTTATGGGCACCCCTGGTTCATTCCAGCTCACCCTCGGGATGGGTTCTGAGGGGATGTGCCCCCACCCCCACCGGCGAGTGATGGCTGTGGCATGGTGGGTGGGGGGTGGCAATTGAGGTGGGACCCCCAGGATAGGGCAGAAGCGTCTTAGCCACAGCCGTGCCTTGGCACGGGAGGGCCCTGCTGGCCGGCTCAGTTCGCCTTGGGTCACTCGCGTCGTCGACTGGCTTGCAGGAACAACTCCTGGAGATTGGGGGGGTCTGCAGCCCTGAGTGGGAGGGTCTGGGGGTGGGGGTTTGTGAAGCCTCGGGGGAGAGGCCAGGCACTGACAGGGGGGCTGCGTGTGGAGAGTGGGGGCCGCGGTAGGAGGCCACGCGGCCGTGCCCAGAGCGTAGCGAAGTGGGCCTGGGAAATGCATGGGGTGCATCTGGGAGGTGCTTGTGGGATGTGCTTGGGATTTGCCCCTGCACGGCAAGCAGGATGTCTGCTTCTGTGGGACTCCTTTTCCGTGGTCTCCGCACTCACGCTTGACCAGCAAGGCCCCCCTGTTCCCTGAGGGCGTGCTGGTGGGCGTTTTGGGGGGGGGCGTTTGGTTAGCGTCATTTCAACTTTCTGGTGTTGGGGACATGCCCAGTGGCGCTCGGTGGCTGTCCTTGGCGTGGGTGGTCTCCATGGGGGCGAGCGCCTTCCTGCTGTACCGTCTCTGCCGACGAGAAAGTCCTGAGGGGAGGTCGGGCGTGGATCAACCCTGGACACAGCGAATGCCCACGAACTTACCACAGGTGTGGCGTGCGGCGTGGGCTAGTGGCAGCGGAAGCCTGTGCTGTCTGTCTGTCTGTCTGTCTGTCTGTCTGTCTGTCCTTCCCCCCTTGCCTTCTCCTCACAGTGGGGGTGAGGGGCCGAGCGTGGCCACGGCGGGTCCTGTCCAGCCCCCGAAGGCCCGGCTAGCCTGGGAATGGGTGAGCTGAGCTTGCAGGACAGTCCCTGGGCTCTGACAGGTCTTGCGGGGGAGAGTGGCCGCCCCCAGCCTCCCAGGGTGGGGGGCGTCAGTGGCTCAGGGGATCGGAAGGCCCCGCAGGGAGCGCTCCAGGCTGACCGTGCAAAGCGGATTGGAGAGATTAGCAGATTGTGGGCTGCGGCCTGGCCTCCGATCCAATCGCCTTAGGTGAGGGGGCCCCTGAGCCAGCCAGCCGTGGAGCTGTCTAGGCATGCCCTGCCCTTCCCGAGGGGACCACCGAGTGTTGAGTGGGGGCAGACCTGAGTGTGGTTCTGCCCAGGATGCAGCCGGCTCGGGCTGCCGAGGGTGAGGACTGTCGGATCGATCACGAAATTCTAACTGATGATGTGCAAATCCCACCCACA